TTATTATTATTATTATTCAAACAACATCTGCATCTTGGTGGTAAATAATTGAAATTTTCACTTAATATAATATATCGATAATGATTAAATAAAAAGAATGACAAAAAGAGATTTAATATTGAATAGAAGAGATATAAACATTAATATCATTTTTCTTTCATACTTAAACATAATTATACCCTTAAAGGCATGATGTCTATCTTTTTTTTTTCTTTTTGTTTTATTATAGGTCTCTTGGTTTACCTTCATTTCAATTATGGTCATCAACTCAAAAAAATCAAGAACCATTTTGTTCGTCATTAACATTTTTAACTGCTGAACAACGTTACTATTGTCAAACAAATCCAAAAATATTTTCTATTATAAGTCGTTCATTACGTCAAGCTATTGAAGAATGTCAATATCAATTTCGTAATCAACGTTGGAATTGTTCTATATTTAATCAGTCAGATGTTTTTGGAAAACTTGTTTTGAGAAGTAAGTTTTCATAATCTATCAGTAACCGTGATCTTTTTATATTTATCTTCCATAAACAATATGTCAGTCATTAAATGTATGATTGTATTTTGAAGAAAGGAATAATTAGACCACCTAGGGAAAAATAAGCTCTCTTGTTCTATTATAATTGGATGTAATCAAGCAAGAAGGACAATTAAACTGACGCCGTCAAGTGTCACCTTTCATTTTCTCACAATGATTTTCCTTTTTCTTGTGTTTAGAAACACCAGAAACAGCTTTTATCTATGCACTTACATCGGCTTCAGTTATGCATAGTATTGCAAAAGCTTGTGCAAAAGGTGAATTAACTGAATGTGGTTGTGATAAAAGTCAACCAACATTATCATCAGCATCATCAATACGTACACGAACTATGTTCAAATATCCAATTACTTCAACACCATCAATGAGTATTTCATTATTTCCATCGACACCTATACCTCAAGCAAATGATGGATTTGAATGGGGTGGTTGTTCAGATGATTTAAAATTTGGTCGAAATGTTAGTGTTTCATTTATTGATGAACAAGAATCATATGTTAGTCGACGCCGTATTGTACGCATGGTGAATTTACATAATAACGAAGCTGGTAGACAAGTAAGAATTAAAAATTTTCTCTTTGAGAAAGCAAAAAAAAACGACAACAGAAGATTTATATATGTTCTTTTTTACATCTAGGCTGTTGAACGCAATGTTCAATTAACATGTAAATGTCATGGTGTTAGTGGTTCATGTACATTACGTGTTTGTTGGCGTACATTACCCGATTTTCGTCTTATTGGTTCAGAATTACGTACTAAATATGCAAGTGCAACACAAGTACGACTTAATCGTCGTTTAGGACTACTTAAACCACGTAAAACTTCAATGAAATTATTCAATACAACAGATCTTATTTATATTCATAATTCACCATCGTTTTGTGAGAAAAACCTTCGTCTTGGTTCATTAGGTACACAAGGACGTGAATGTAATTTAACAATAAATGAGCCTGGTTCTTGTTCAGTATTATGTTGTGACCGGGGTTATGAAACAATAATAAGTACAGTTGAAGAAGATTGTGAGTGTCAATTTCATTGGTGTTGCGAAGTACGATGTAAACGTTGCATTAAAAGAGTTGAAAAACATTTTTGTAAATGAAATATTCAATGGTCAGATAATATAATTAAAACGAGATTAAGATTTCATGTCCTCTTTTTGTTTGGGGCGAGTAACAGTCGAGTTGTATACTTTCTCGTTTTTTTCCTCATTTGTCTCATTTTTTTTTATGTGTGTGCATGTGTGAGTAGATTTGTTGTTTCGTGTTTGAATGTCTATATATATTTTTTGCTTTCGATTATTTGTTTATGTGTGCAAAAAAAAGTCTTTATAAATTATTTGTCGTTGGTAAAAAAGCAAAAAAAACGAACAAACTTTGCATTTTATCTGCTTGATATCACACCTAATGGTATTTAGTGAGTTAATCATGCAAAAATCCGACCTTTCTAGCAAAAGAATGATTGTTCAATAAACTCTCGATTAGTCATATATATATATATATATATATATATATTTACTCTTCTCCAACGGAAGAGCAGGTGAAGTAATGTTAAAGTGCTTGCTTAGTTACTAATGGCGATGGTCAATGCCAGAGGGACGAATGTTGATGATTAGAGATTATATATAGACATACGTTCTTTCTTTCTTTTTTAATGAGTTTGGTATAACATAATCAACATTTGTTGAGAGCTCAATACAAGAAAAAAAGAGAGATGTGTACATGGTGTACACATGTGTTTGTACTCTAGTTTGATTATGATAATGGTGTATGAATAACAGCAGGTTGACAAGACGACATTCGAATAATATGCATATGAGAGTAATAATCATTGTTATTCTTTTGTATAAAATATACTTTTAAGAATATTTCAATGAATTGTTAAAGATTAGAAAATGTAAAAACAATTATTGTTTATATAGGTATACAATAATCAACTGAAAAAAGAACATTTGTGGTCTAAATTGTATACTTTCATCTCAGTTGGTGGTAAAATAATTATTCTTGAATGATATTAAATCGATTCGATCGATTATTATTATGTCGTATAAGAAAAAGATTTATGTCAATAACAAAAGTGAAAAAAATAAAGACAAATAGGAATTTAACAAGTCTGAATTACTTGATAAAAGACTTTGTCTTTCTTTGATAATAAATTAGATTTTTGAAAATTTGAAAATTTGAAAATACAGCAGCTTAATTAGTAAACAAAAATAATTTCTTTTTGTCGTTTGGTCGATGTTTTGTTACATATAGATAATTTTGTTTTTATGTGATGATACTGAAATTTAGAATCTTTTAAATAACAGTAAATTCAAGTTAAAATCATATATTTTGCCAACATGCTCAGCGATATTATCTTATTATTATGCGTCTATATACTTTAAAATGTCATATTGTCAATTCAATTTAGAATATGATGTCTTATAATAAAGACATGTTTAAGTGAATTGTTTATTCTTTTTGATTACAATAAACGGCAAAGTATTTTATTTACAATGTTATGAACATTATGAATTAATCAAAAATCTTTAAGAAAAAAAAAAAGAAAGATCATATTAGTGAAAGAGACTTTCTCTTGAATAATAAGGATTAACTATTACACGATGCTGGATAAAATTCTTTGAAGTTATATTACTATCTATTTTTTGTTACGCTGCAATTTTTGGTAGGTGCGAATCTCCATGATTCTTGATCACAAGCAACAGCCCATTTTGAATTGATTGACGTACACTGAACTTTAACGCAAATTACTTTGTTTAGCTACGTATTCTTTTGTAGGATGGTAGAATTTTGTGTTGATTCCATATCTGTTAGAAGAACTAGAGATGATTTGTTTTAGCAGAAAAGAAAGACTTATGTGAATATTTTTCTTTTATCCCAACGGTTATTCTATATCTTCAAGCTCGAGTTAATTAACAATGTCGTGATGAACTCATCCTATGATCATATATCAGTTTCGTATAGCGTTATGACTCTGAGAGCTTAATCATAGGCTGTCAGTTGATGATAACTCTGACATAAAAATGTCATCTTGACTTCGATGTGTCTGATTGAAGATTATTATATGCTGCTCGGCAGAATTTTTCAATGCAAAGACTATATGTCAATTACTTTAACGTGACTTCTTACCAAAGTTTTAACTAGAGATAATTACGATATTGAGCTTTCGAATGACAAGTCGCGCAAGAATAAAACTATCTAATGGGTCAAGAAATAATTGTTATAAGGTGTAGATAATATTCGATCTTTGAGTCCAACATGTATTAACAAATAGAGAGTGAATTGATGCTTGCGATTGAAATACATGATGGCCTTACTCAATATAGACTACTGTGATTTTTGTATTATTCGAAGAATTACTTTTTTTTTCGTAAAAAAAAAAATAATATATTATTACTCAATTCACATGTGAAATAGTCACTCCTAACATTATATTTCGTCGATAACATTTATAATGACATGTTTTATTTTTATTGCATATATTTAACATTTGTTGTTTTTTCTTCTAATTCTTCTTGAATCTCTGTTTAATCAAATCTTAATAAAAACATATTGAAGTAATACTGTTGACTTAACCAAAGGAAAAATGAAACAAAAATAGATCGAATGAAATTCATTTATTGAGATTCAATCTTAATAAACAAACCAATGTTTTGATTGTTGCTAAACATATCATTAACTCAATAGTTAGGACATCAATTTCATGCTAAAATAAATAATGGAACTAATCATTTTGATAATGTAATTTATTCAGCTTACTGCATTATCTTTGTCTTCTAATCTCGTAAATGAATATTAATTATTTATTACAAGATTAATCTTAATTATGAAAACTGTTTTTATCACTATAAAAAAATTAATCATTTCATATTCAGTCACCCTTTTCTTTATTATCCATCAGTAAGACTTTCAATCTTTCCAAAAAGACATAAGTTTCATTTTCATTTTCTGTGTTCATCAAAAGGCCAAGAAAAAACAAAAAAAACATATTTTAAACGCAAACAAACATTCATATAGTAAAGTAGTAGTACGAGCGAGTTATACAAAAGAAAAAGAAGAATTTTTGTGATTATGAATAAACAAAAAAAAAAAAAACATTTTTCTTTATCTTCGAATATGCACGAAAGATGACAGTGTAAAAAAAGTTCATAGATATTATAATGTGAAACAAAAAAAAACTGATCAGAGCTTGAGTTAACAATTGAAAAGAAAATACGTCAAAAGTATTTGAATTTCTTTTCTTCTCATTCTATTTATCTCAAAATAGAAGATGTATCACAAAAAAAGATAATGAGATACATGAGACTTACTGTTATAGGAAAAAAAAAGGGAAAAGAAAGCAAGAACAAACAACAACAACAACAAGAAACGAAGAATAAAAAAATCTATTATTCAACGAATGTTATCCTAATCCTGAGAGACGGCAAGATGAAAAAGAAAACAAAACAGCATGAATATACATCAAGATGAAAAACATCTCTTTGTCGAATACATCTGTTGTTTCTTTCGACAAAAAATATTATTTTGTGTCATAGTTGATTTAGGTGATGAAACTTTTACAAATGGTGCCATTAAAAATAATGCTAATAGAATACATATGAACCAATGAAAACCATAATAGAATAAACGAAATAGAATTATTATAATGTTTGTTTCATTATGTTTAGGATTTTTTTTAATAGCATCATAATAAACATTATTTAATTGATCAGCAGCTGAATCCCATGAATGTTTTAATGCTTGTTGTCGTGCTTTAATTGATAAATAATCACGATTTTTCATAGCTAAACGTACAGCGTCTTCAGCTGATTCTATATTATCGGGTTCCCATAAATATCCATGTTCACTATTTATAAAAAATTCTTTTAATTGTCCACCTTCAGCAGCTATAACTGGTGTACCACTTGCCATAGCTTCTAAATAGACTTGTCCAAATGTTTCACTAACTGATGCATATATAAAATAATCTGCACTAGCATAAGCACTTGCTAATTCTTCACCACCAAGATAACCAAAAAAATAGACACGATCAATTGGAAATAATGGTTCAAGTGTATGACGATATGGACCATCACCAATAATACATAAAAATGTTTCATTTGATATACGTTCTAATAGAAGTGATAAAAATTCAAAATTTTTTTCTGGTGATATTCGACCAACACAAAGAAATAATGTTATAGAATCCATTTGTTCATGTGTAAAATTAGTTAATGTACCAAACATACGATAACGCATGGATAATGAACGTCGTCGAGGATGAAATAATTCTGAATCAACACCAGTTTTCCAAACTAAAACTGGACGTGGTATACCTGTATGTTCCATATAATCAGCAAAATCTTGACTAACTGTTAAATTAATTGATGAATATATTAAATGTTTTAAACGTATATATTGATAAATTCGTCGTGCCATTTTAACAGCATAAGAACGTATATATGTTGATAAATAAAAATCAATATTTGTATGGGAAGACCAAACAATCGGAATATTTAATGATTTAGCAAATGCACCACAAAGCATAGCAGCTGGAGTTTGTTCAACAATATGAATAACATCGGGTGAAAAACGTCGAATTGAAAAATAAATAGCAGTCTAAATGAACAAGAATAAAAAAACATAAAAATAAATTTTTCTTTTTTATAAATATATATATTTACATTAGGAAATAAAAATGGACATGCACAATCAATTTTATTAGTAAAATCAGTTGATGGTAATATTGAAAATGTTACATATTCTTGTAAATAATCATTTCCTTCAAGCCATAATTTAGCATTCTATGAATAAGAAAATTTTTATAATGTGTAATAAATATATTTATTTTCAACCTACTTTACAACCCGTTATGACATGTATATAATGTTTTCTTTTCGCTAGACGTCGTATAATTTCTTTAAATCGACGTGTTATACCGCTTGTAAATGATGGAAAACTTTCAGCAAACAATAAAATTCGCAATGAATCATTATTATCATGAATAAAACCATTTGAATAAGCTAATAAAAGGAAAAAAAAATAATAATAATATTTAATAAAATATGATAAAAACAACTTCTTTTTTATAATGCATTACTATACCTCTATTAGTAACCATTATCTGAATTTTAGACTCTCAAAAGAAGAAGAAGAAGAAGAAGAAGAAGAAGAAACAGAAAAAAAACCACATTTCATGCGTTTGGTTCTATTATTTGATTTTGTTTTTCGTTCTTCATTTTCTTCGTTCTATCGAATGGCATTTTCGATCTGCATGATATATACATAGTGATATGAAAATTACTCACATTGATAATGAGGATCGATATTATGGGTTCGATGTTCCACTACGTCAGATGACGTGCTCGATGTTGATGATATATTTTGTGATAAAGGAGCAGATGTTGGAAAAAAAGCAGCAGCTAATGTTGCACACGATGTTGTTGTAAAATTAAATTTCCACCAAGCAGGTGAAGGTTCATATGGAGATGATGGTGATGATGACGATGTAGCAGTTGCAAATGACGATAACATTACATTACATACTTGATATTAAAAAAAAAAAATAAATATCAATAGATCATTATGAAAAATAGTTTCGATCAAACAAAAGAAAAAAAAAATGGAAAATCAAGATAACCAAGATTTTACAATTCATCATGAATATTATTATTGCCTAGAGTTATTAAAAATAATAATGAATAGAATCAATAGATTTATTACAATCGATTGTATTATTCGTCTCGTTTTTTTTCCCTTTAATTTCATTTCAGATTTTATTAGAAAATATATATGTATATAAATATTAATCAATAACTTACTTAAGTGATTCTTTTTTTGCATATATTAAAGCCATATGACCTTTATGTCTAGATGGCAGTAAGTAATGATTAAAAATGAACAATTATATCTAAAAATTATAAAATATAAATGAATGTTAAATGAAAGAAAAAAAAGTTTATTTTATTGTTGGCTATAGATACATAATATACACATGTAAGCAACGAGAAAAAAAGAATCTTACTCCTACTATAACACAACTGCTGTTACTAGCGATTATTAGTCGGCAAGACAGCCAGCCAGCCAGCCACATGATTCTCTTTCTTTTTTTTTCATTCTTCTTCATTTTTTTTTCTTGTCAGTGGTAAATCTTCTTCGTCATGTAATGCATTCGCAATACATGGAATTGTGTAGCTCTTTCCGTTACATTCCGTTCTAAGGCCGAACACAAGCTTGAGAAAAAGAATGTTTATTTAGGAAAGAAGAGAAAAAGAAGAAAAAAAAGAAAGCAGAGACGAAACAGTGCTGATAGTTCTATGTGTTGTCGTCGATCAAATGTCAAATGTTGAAAGAGAAAGAATAAAGGAAAAGATTTAGAGAAAAGGCTCTCATGATTGATAGAGACAAAGAATGCATATTTCACCACAAATTAATCCATGATTGTTATCGACTATCTCCTGAGTAGAGATCCATCAGATATTGTTCCTTTATTGTTACTATAATTATTACTTACATCAGCTAAAATATAATATCAAACGTATAAGAATATTGACCTAGAATTTCCCTAATTCTATTTTTTTGCCTTGTTTAGTACTTTTTTTTCTCTCTCTCTCTGCAAAACTAATAAGCTTTTTTTTTCCTAATTTTCCATTCATATTAATACAATGCAATTGGAATTGATTAACGTTAGCTTGAGTAGATTTTTTGGAATGCATTTTATCATAGTTGTCAACAGAATATACAACTTCTATTATGGAAAAAAAATTACATGAGTATTTTCCATATATCGTCTGATAGTTCTATCAAAGAGAAATAATCATAACATATAAATATCAAATATTTCTAAGCAAATAATGTAATACATATATATTTGCTTGATATATCACCCTAATAATATAATGAATAAAAAGAAAAACAATATGTAATTAATGATTATACTATTAAATTCAATACCTGAGAATAGTTCGGAACCATAAATGATTTTATCATTCACAGTTTTTTTTCTACCATCGATCATATTCATATTTTTTTCCGACTTTTTTTTTTCTTCTTTAACCCTTCTGTTTCCTGTCTTACGTACTCTAAATCAGAAAAGGAGCAATAACAGAAAAAAACTGAGAATGAATGAAAAGAGAAGAAAAAAGCCTAAACCAGGAAATAAACATCTGTATATATTTGAGTGAATAAAAAAAAAATCTAGTCTTGTTTATTCCATTAGATTTCGTGGTATATACATGCACAATGAGTAGTATATATATATAGAAAAAGAGAAATGAGAAATTAATATAGAGCTTAAAAAGTGTTCAGTTTGTAGCTTTTCAACATCAAGATCTGATTATTGTTCGAAGCAGCATCTCCTATCGAGATAATAAAGTATTCAATCCGAAAGCAAAACTGCAAGCATGGTTAACAATGCTATTGCAAAACATACATTCACATCTATGATTCTCTTCCACCGGGGGGAAATAAAATAAAATGTGCTTGGTTTAATAAGGCGAACGAGTCGATAGATGATTAGTATGCATGAAATACACAAGGCATTCTATAACAGCATAAAAATAGACTATAATAATAACAATGCATTCTATTCTATATTTCTCATTTTTTAATAAACTTTCTCATGTAAATAATTTTGATCAGTGTTGAATAAGAAATGTATATGACTTTGATTTTAGGATATAAAATATAGTTAGTAAAAAACAATTGCAAAGCAACGATCAGAGCAAATACAATATAATTAAATGTCAATCAATAGACAAAATGCACAAATAGATGAACAAAATCAAAAAGAAAAGAAGAAAGATTTTTATGTTATTAATAATTTTTAAATGCTATATGTTCATATGAGATAAAATTTTAGACGTTTAAAAATTATATTCTTTTTTTTTCGATTTTTGATAATTGGTATAGATAAGATACTAGTCTATCTGTTTCAATTCATAAAATTCATATTTGTCGTACACATTAAACTGACTATTGTTCATACTGTGTTCCATACTGATCATTTCATATAGAATAATTTATACATCATTAGATAGATCTAAATACATCCGCCATTCATTAGAATATTGAATAGAAATTTTCTTCATGATTAATAAAGAAGAACCTTTGAAGAAAAATTTTATTCAATAATAATAGCTTGTTAAAGAATAGAAAAAAAAAATCTATAATAATAAATACGTTAGTTACCGGATATTGCCAAGGGAAACTACAGAAGAAAAAAGATTAATCAAGTCGAGGAAATTCATAACTTGGAATTTTCTTCGTTGGATGGGAAACAATCAGAATAAAGAAAAAAAACGTTTTTGCTGGTATGAAGGTCTTTTCTTCCATGTTCCCTTTTAACGGTTTTTAGTTTTGAAGGGAAATAAAGAAGCTGAACAATTGTATTTATGTTTTTACAAGATAAACAGCTGAAGTTTCATTGTATGGTTTTATTGTTGCAGTTTGGATAAGAATAATGTATTAGAATTAATGAATAAAACTATGTTTACTTTTATTGATTCATGTTTTCTAAAATTCTATACAATTGATATTCAAATAACATATGATAAAGCTTGTATTTTGTACAATCTGTTTTTCATTATCATATATTATTTAAATGAAAATATAAAGTTTTACCTTTCGTATAAAAAATGTTTATCAAAATCAAGAATATAAATGAGATATTGTTTAAGAATAAAAAAGAAAGTTTTGAATGATTTCGCGTAGAGACTGTCATCAGCTTACAATAGTCAATATGATTCTTATCTTTCAAGGCTAGATTTGCATTGATTTTTGTAATCTCATAATGATTTCTGGTCTGACATTGTAGTGTGATGCTTCTTTTCTTCATCATTCATGTTTGAAGGATTTTTGTCTGAATGACTGATGGGTTTTTTTTTATAGAAATTCTCTACTTCATTACATTTCTTAACGACTTTTCTATTGATTTATTCGTAATGGTTCCATATGTCGACTAGAGTATTTAGTATGAGAGTGTTCTAGTGTTTCCTCTTTTTTTAAAAATTGGATAACAGATCAGTGTAAATTTAAATTTTGAATTTGTATGAACAATGGTTTTTTTTTGCTTATAATTTTTGTGTTAGAAAAATATATCGATTAATAATTTTATACCTAAGTAATTCTTATATGAAATAAATATAATAGGTCCAATAAGATGAAGAAAGCTAAGAAAAAAGGAATGAAAGATTTTGATGGATAATCTATGGTATGTAATTCTTGAAGATTTATATATCGTGATGAGATTTTATTCGGTTGAAGGAAATCACTTACCATAGTATTAAATTTTAGATTCGACAACATCCTATAGTACCAATGATTTCATTAGATTATAGATCAAAACATCGTTCTAAGAAATCTTATGTAAAAATTCTTTTATAGAAACTAAGTTTTAAATATAGGTCATAAACAAAGAAAGTCAAAGATTAGAATCTATGAGATGAAATGAATAGATTAGAATACTACAAATAAAGGTATTATTTTTATCACCAAAAAATAATCAATAATTGTCTCGTTTCATCATTGTCAGTTCTTTGTTTATGATTTTATTTTCCGAAACATTTCTTTACTCATTAATGTTTCTTTTTTCTTATTTTTTAGACTTGTTTGCCATTTACCGATCGTTCGTAAGACATCAATCATATTAGTAATCTTTTATTACCGTTTCTATATACATATATATATTTTTTACTATCGTTCAAACATTATTTTATTCCTATGTCAAATTATGTGTTACAATAATAATTCATAGAAAATAATAAAATATTAATTTTTCTTGTCTAATTTCAAGTTGATTGACAAAGATAGACGAGAATAATTGAAATCATTTTTAGAATTAATCAATTTTCACTATATAATGGATAATTATTTATCAAAAATGAATAATTGTTTTATTATTGAAATAAATATATATTTAAATATCGTAAAAAAGAAAAAACAATAACTTCCAAAAATGTCAACATTCTCTTAAGTTATATATGTAACATGACATTCAATGAATTATTTTGTTTCGTTCATAATTTTGATTAGAAAAGAGAAATTCTTTTGTTTATTAGAGCTTTAAAGTATTATTAATCATTCGAAGGGATTCAGAGTTTTAATACTTCAAATCTGTCTGAATACTTTCAGCATTTGTTTTATATCTCTTAGACCTAATAAACTGCAAGGAATAGGATTAAAGTTATATCCTATATTTATCCATTTTAACAAATGACATTCATAAATTATAACATAGAAAACTATTATTTATTCATGACGTTTGAATTATTTAATTGAGGGCTGGACAATATTCTTCAAAACAGAAAAATCGTTCCATATATAAAGTCAACGAGAAAATGCTTTCTTCAAACAAAAAAAAAACAGTTGTCATCGCTTAAATACATTGAAGACAACAGAAATAAAACGTTCAAATAGAAAAAAACCCTTCAATTATGTCGATCTTCACAAATAAAAGTCAAAATAACTTAAGCAGATAACAATCATATTAAGAAAAAGACAAAATAAGAGAAATGGATTTCTTTTTTGTTCAAAGGAAATTTAATAGAATTAACATAAGCACAGACAAAGAAATTATGCAGCCAGACAGTTATAAATGATTATCAAGATATATGTTTACATTCTTTCATTCTATTCGTCCTTAACATGTATGGCTTTATATATGATGAAGCATTTCTTTATGAACGAGAATAATTTTCTCATTAACTGATTTTATTGATTCATTGTCGGTTTTTAATTGCAAGTTAATTTTTAAAACATTTAAATTAAAAATTAAAATCATTCTCTAATGTTTCAAAACAAACTTTGTAAAGAGTCAAACATAACAAATAAGACAAAAGAATTAATTAAAATATATCTATCTAAGTTCTGATATTAAGAGAGATTGTATTTAATTGGTTGTCTAAAGAATAATTCATTTTTTATTTTAATTGTGTGATGCTTCTTTGAATAAAAAAAGTCTCTTTATACCTTTTATAATTAAATATGAATAGAAAGTTGTTATTTTATTTTTTTTATTACTCACAAAATCAAAAGAAAAATTTTTCGATAAACCTTTTTATTTTATTAATATATTATTGGAAAGTTTATCAAATGTCAGAAAACTTCTTCTTTTCTTCAATTAAAAATACATTTGAGATTGGGAGAAAACTATCAATCTCAAATGCACTCATTCCATTAATTAATGCTATTAAATAATTGACTTTTCTCTTTCTATCATTTTCTATTTGAGCAACTATAAATATAAAATTTCACCTTCCGTTCACTTATGTTAATTATTTCTTTTTGTTTCTTTTTGTATTTTATTTCAATTACCTTCTACTATTCTACTTTTATTATGAATTATTTTTTGAATAATATTCATTGATGTAGAGATATGTCCTTGATATTAACATTCATATTTATTTATCTATTATTGATATGTATCATATCATTATATTCTTTACCAGTTGCTCATATTGTTAATGCAACTTATTCAACAGGTAGTTCATTTATAAAAATAAATTTAACAACATCAAATGCATGTATGTGTGCTTGTATTTTTCATCCACATTGTCTTTCGATTAGTGTTATGAAAATATCAAATAATACATATTATTGTCAATTATTTGCAACATATCCAATAAAAAGTTCTCAATTATCATCATTATTAACATCAAATGTAACTATTTATACTGATCGAACACTTAATTCAGTTTATATTGATAATGGAACTTATTTATCTAATCCTAAAAATCTTTTTTTCAATACAGAACATCCATGGATACCTATTTTTAAATTGTATACTGGAAATAATCAATCATTTTTATGGTTAAATTCAAGTAATTTAACTACATTAACAAATATTCCAGAAATTTCAATTAATCAATTAACATCTCATTGGTTTAATATTTTACTTTCACAATGGAATCAAATGTTATACATACCGGATCAAATAGCTATTGCATTTATTGTTAATCGTACAATAGTTTTTGATTTTCTTATCTTTAATGCTTCTCAAACAACTATAATAAATTGGTTTTCAATAAAAAATCTTATTTCAAATCAATATTGGAATATAACACCATATCGAAATATACCAATTGCTCAAATACAAATAAAATCAATTTATACAGATAATGATTGTATAAGATCATTTAATGGTAATTTGAAATTTTCAACAAGTGGATGTAATCAAGATTTTTATGGATTCTTTTTTGTTTATGGTGGTTATAAAGATTTATGTATTGCTGCCAATCTAAATATGTCACAAATATTTATTCCATCGATTTATTTTAGTCCAACAATAAATTATACCAATGGTAATTTTAATAATTATAATATTGCTGATGGTCTGATGGGTTTTGTTCGATGAATAAAATAACAGAATGAATGTCATTATATTTAGTTTATTTTTTCTTGAAATTACCTATAAATGATTGTATGCTTGATTCTATAAAATTTTTCTTAAAGATTTCGAAGAATAAAAACAAAAGAAATGTTCGTTGTCGAATTAATAAGTTTATTCATTCGTTTTTTTTTTTTGTTTCTTTAACATAGAAATTATAGTGTACTGTCATTTAGTAAATAATATGACGTATTTTACTGAGAAATAGAATGACATATTCTTGTAATAATTTTGTGGCTTTTATGCGCATGATTGAAAATTAGGACCGTTTTGACAAATTTTATTTGAATAGATTAATCATCAAATATAAATTTGATAGGTAATAGAGTATAATAGAATTACAAAATGTCAATTTTGTCATTTTAAAAACACATCAAGATTTCATCTTGTTTATTGAACGAGAAAGATGTAATTTTCAAAGTAATATAAATTATAATAATTGACATAAACGTTAATTATCATCAATTACGTGTTTTTTTTTTTGAACAACCCTTCAAAAGGAAAAAAAACAACTCTATAAACGTTCTTAAGAAATGAAAAAACAAAAGAACACAGTTCTTTTCATCTGCAATGAAAATTATTAATGTCAAAAATAATTGTCACTGTTATATTAGTTCTTTTGATATATTATTTTTTTTGTTCTCAGACGTGATTCACTTGAAAATGTACAATTGCTTAATGATTTTGTCAGATTTGATCAATTGTATCGAAGAACAAAGAAAAGTACTGAAAATACTTCTGTAAGTTACAAATAACTTTCAAATATTGTATGAACTCAATAGAATTCAAAGTAAATAGTTTTCTTTTACAGATATGACATTTTCTGGAAGTGTATAAGTTAATTTTGAAAAAAAAACTATTCAAGTAGTTACACTTAAATGTACTTGATTAAAAATGAATGATTAATTTTAGAAGCTAATTAGAGTAGAAAAAGAATCAGTTGGATTCCTACATTATTAGGATAATTGTTATTGAAAAATAGAAGTTAATATATATATTTTTGATATTTAAATAATTCGAGACAAGTATGTTAGACTTGTGCATTAGTCTATGTCAAAGTAAAAGATATGTTTATAAATTATATTTAAAAAAAGAAACCCATGAAAGAATACATTTCTACATGTTATGACATTGAAAACAACATTTCATAAGATTTTATCGTTTGAAAAATGTTTTATGTTTCTCAATTTATTTATTCGAAGAAAGACATCATAAAGAAATTTCTTTTTTTTGTCTTTATATAAAAAAATGAACTATTTTTCTTCATAAATATTTCATCATATACTAAAATTTAATATTATTTTCATCATGAAGATTCTCTCTTTTCTTTGAAATAAAGCGACATCTAGTATTTTAAATCATATCATTGATTGATATCTCCAGCTGTTTTAGTTGTTTATTGTTTTTTTTGTTTGATTCATAATCTTTTCTTTTTTTTATTTTGTTTAAATATAAAACTCAATCATATGAATCTTTTCTATTGATTATTTATTATTTTACACAAAGAAATTGTTGTATAAATATTTAATTAATTAATTAAAAATTTACTAAAGATCTAATAATTTATTTCTTATAGGTCAATATGACATCAGCAATTAATCATATTCCACGTCTAGGTGAAATAAAAACAAAACCAAAAATCGGTGAAATTCGTTTAACAACCGATGGAACACGACGTAAATTATTTACTGGTACAACATGGCAATATTTATGTGGCGGTGATCCTAATTGTCTAATTCAAGCTAAATCAACATGTCGACATCATAGAAGTTCATTAACTAATAATACATCATTAAATGAATTATCATCCATTGAAACAAAACAACCCAAACGTGGTGATACACAAATATTACCAAATGGAAATCGACGTATATGGCAAGGTGAACGATGGCACAATTTATGTCGTGCAGATAATTGTTTAATACAAGCAAAAAGTTTTTGTAAACTACATCAAAATCAACGAATGTCATTACCAAATACAAGTAAAACACAACAGAAAAAAACAAATTCCTTTTCAGATAAAAAAACTCGATTAACAAATCGAACACGATCTTATTCTTTTACTAGTCAGAAAAGTATAATATTCGATTTCATTTTTTTATTAAATAATTTTATAAGAGTTTTTCATTTAGAAGAAGAAGAAGAAGGACAACTACATATTGAATCAATTGATGATTCATCTCTTTCAAAAATAGATACTATTGTACTTCATTCACCAACTAATAAACGTCGTCGTGCTGATGATAATATATTTGAAGCAATTGCTGTATCACCATTAAGAAAACGTGAATTACATACACGTAATGGACGTCGAGTACGATGTAATGGGTTAATATGGAAACATTTATGTGCTGATAAAAAAACTACTGTTTTAAAACGTAATTATCGAGGTCAAAGTATGACAAATAAATTATCAGGTGAAAATAATTTCAATCAAAATGAATCATTAACGTCAGATACTATTGATTCATCAATAGACAATAATTCGATGACTCAAATAAAAAATAGTAAAAAACGAAAAACTACAGGTGATATAAATAATGAAGAACATATTGTTCCGAAAAGAAAATCTAATGGACGACGTCGAAAAGGTAAATATTAAACAAAAGAAAATATCGAATCAACTTTTTTGTTTTCCTCCCAGTGTGAAGATACAATTTTGATTAATGTACAATCATTAACTGATGTGTTTTTTTTTCAAAACACGATTATTATCTACGCAGAGGTATCCCGAGGTCGCCACGACTGAGGAGGGGACGATCATTTAGAAAGTCGATTCACAATTTTTTTCGAAAAGAGACCTGATTTTGGGGGGAGGGGGTCGAGATTGTTTTGAGATTTAGTGAGCAAAAAAACGAAAAAATGTTCTGGAAAAAAAAGAAAACTGTTCAACTTTGGAAGGGGGTCACCCCGCACTGGTCGGGACACTCCTGCATTTACGATAGAACAAGAAAAAAGTTTGATGTTTCTATTTACATGATGGAATATGCCATGCGCCAAATAAAAAAAAAGAAGTCATTTATTAAGTCACGCATGACCAATTACCAATAGTTATGATTGTACTTAAGAAATAGGATTTTTGCATAGACATCGTTGGAAGTTTTCTATCGTTTCTCGTTCCACATTGACCTGTAACTCAAAAAAAAAACAATCTGAGAGACTAACGATTTCAATCAGGAGAATATGTTTTGATTTTATTTCTTTTTTTAAAATGTTGATAATTCGAGAGTTGAGAAAAATCGTTTTTTAATATATTTAAACAAAATTTTTTAGTGAAATTTAAGAAAATTAGAAAAAACCTATATAAAATTGAAATATGCCAACAGTCGTTTGATTGTTGAGATAATTGATATAAGAACAAAAAGTTATTAATACCAAAGTATATTTCAAGATTTTAACCATAAGAAATTCAGTTGTAAATCAAACGAATATCATATTCAAAATCGGTATCGAATACTATATTCAATACTGATTTTCGTCAAGTTTTGACCTTGGGCGAAGCCCCAGATAAGTGTATTCGAAAATAATAGTAAGAAAGCTAAATATAACATTTACTATTCGATCTCGATTTTTGTACTGATTCTGAATATGATATTTGTTTTATTTCTAACCGAAGTTATGATTTTTAAAATTTTTGAATACGAACTCGTATTTATGGTAATTAAGCAGAAAACGTCAACTAATTGTAAATACGTTAGTAATAAAACTGTTATTTGTGTTTTTAAGAGTACTGATCTGTTTTTTTTCACCGACCTACCCTACATTCTTCTCAAGAAGGATATCAATTCGAAAGAACTATTGTTAATTAAAAATAAAATAATCAGATTTTATTATATTGTTAATTTTCTCTTATCATTTTCATTCTAAAGTATTAAAACTTGAGATTTATCATATATGATAAGGAAAAGAATTATCATTTCGATATTTTGCTATTATATCGATTTTCTCAACAATCAAACAAAATTTTTGTTCATCATATGATCAGTAAATCAAAAGAAAAATATATTCGAATAAATATTGAAACTACAAAGAGTTAATTGCCTTTTATCATAGTTCAATATGTATAAGCCTTTCTGAGTTCTTTTTTACAATGCTAAAATATTGTTTAGATATGTTGAAAAAAAAAATTTTTTTACAAGTAATGTGACGAATGTTAACCAACCAGGATAAAAAAACTTTTTTTTTTCAATTTTGTATGACTGCATCTTACAGAGAACAATCGACATATAGGCTTTCAATTAAAAACTCTTTTGTCATAGAAAGAAAAACATTAATAAATATCAGCATGATTTCTTTTATATTTTTTTTTAATAGGTTCGAATAAATCAATCACTTTATATCTTGAAACAAATTCATCTAGTTCATCTGTAATCGATCTCTTTTTATTGTTACAATTTATTATGATAATTATTTCTTTTTTTGTTTAGATTTCTGATATTCCTATAAAAGAAAAATCAATTGAAGAAACTATTTTAAATGAATCTGATGTAACATTATCATTAAAATCAAATCGACTTGATATAAATGATCAGTCTATTGAAATTCCTATTCAATTACCATCACCATCTCTTTATGATACATCGACATCTGCAATTCTTGAACAATTTGGAACAATTATTAAAAAAGAAATGGTAATAATATAAGTCCTCAGGCTGTTTTGTTTTTTTTTGTTAAATTATTTTATAAAGTATAAAAATGAATTTTTTTTTTTCTTGTTCTTCTTTTCATAGGATGAAGAATCATTAATTTGTCTTCCACCGATGGATACAAATAAAATTGAATTTCCATGTGAAACATTACAAGATTTTATACGTGTTGAAGAAATGAAAAAGAAAGAATTTAAACTTGATTGTCAACGTATTAGTTACCGTTTAGCAAAAATTCAAGATTGTATTGGTAGCATTTCATCAATGACTAGTTGAAACCAAAAAAAAAAACAAAAATATCAATTGAATGATAATCTTCTATTATCTCTCATATCAATTTGTAAATCTCCAATTCGAAAAAATAAAAAACAAATGGCTTAAATCAGATAATTAAGAAAGAAAAATTAATTGTTATCTTTCTTTTTTTTTGTTTTTGTTTTTGTTTCGAGGAAAGAAATGATGATAATTGTGAGTTTGTATTGTTTATTCATACACGTTGTTGTTGAACATATTCTTGTGCTTTATTTGTTAATTAAAATCATTTGAAAAAAAAAGAAAAAACTTTATTTGATTTGTTTCTTGCCCTCTTATTTAAGATATTAAATTGTCATGTCAACAACACAAGACAATATAAATGATAAAGATATATTAATAACATATATTAAATGTGAAAATAATACAGATGATGATTTCGTATTCGATAAATCAACAGAATTAAATGATAAGAAAGATTATTATTCAAATCTATTATCAACATGTACCATTGTAAATCCATCATCATCATCAGCATACAAAGGAAAAATTGAAGTTACAAGTAAAGGACGTCGAAAAATTTTTGATGGTGTTCGATGGCAAATATTATGTCGAAGACCAGGTATGATTATTATGGTTTTTTTTTTGTTTAACAGAATTACAGTTTATTCTTAGACAATATAAATATAGATAATCAATGAAAAACATTAAAATAAATTATGAGATACAGTATAACCTCTCTAAGTGGAATGAAAACTATGAGAAGTTTTACTCTATTTTAATAATTCTATAGAGTATGAATATTGTTCTTATCAGCTGGTTGATTAGTTAAAAGTGTAAGTTAGATTTATGAAAAAATAATTTATTCACACTAGAGAGAAAATAGCTTTGATATTATATCCCTTCACATGGAAAGCTAGCTTTTGTTTATTTGATTACCAAGGATAAATCATTTATTGATAGTATATCAAATAATCATTTGAGAGTGTTTTTAGAAATACTTTGTTTCATGTTTTGGAATTGTTGATATTTTTTATTCTATTGAAAAACTGATTTCTTCAAAAAATAAAACAAAAAGAGAAAGACTGCGAAAGGGATGTAAGTGTGGTCGTTGATAGTCTCTCCTCCCATATCCACACTAACATTCTATATGACTCTAGTTATTAGGCAAAATTTTTTCAGTTCTAACAGTATGGGTTCGTGGTACAAGGAATTGAAAAATTTCGGTTCTAATTCGAGTATCAGTTCCATTTTTTTTTTCATTGAAACTTGCAAGACTCTAAGAAAATGTTGAAGTTTTTATAAATTTGACAGAACTCATAATGGATGGATTCGGGTCAAATTAAAAGTATAAAGTATTTCTGATGTGCACAAGCTGAGATATTCGAATTTTAAGATATTCAGACTGTTTTGTATGTCCCAATAATTTAAATTTCAGTAGGATTTATTTTTCTCTTTTTTTTTCATACAAGGATAGAAATAATTGAGTTCTACAAGAAAAAGAACTTCTCAGATATGAAAGAAAACATTGTAAAAGAAAAATAAACGACACCCTCTTTTGTCAAGATACAGTAAAAATTTTCTATTTTGAACACCATCGGGACCATAAAAAAGTGATCACCCGATGGAGGTGTTCACTTTAGAGAGTTACATTTATTCTCTATTGTTCATCTATTCTTATATGAACGATTTGAATTGAAAGATTTTTTAAGTACAACACAAAATTTAATTGTTTTTAAAAAGAAACCTTAAATGTTGTTTGCCTTTTTGCTTTTGAACTGATTTTTTTTTCATAATCATTCAATTATTTTGTTTAATGTTTTAAAATATTTGTAACAAAGCTGAGTGATATATTATATTGTTTTTAGTCAATTTTTTTCTTGCAAAGTAAGTTTGTGTTGTAATGTTATTCTTTACTTTGCGCCTACAGCACTTGAATCATACACTAAATATGCGTACTCATAGTGCATATGAAACAGGTGAGAGCAAAGAGAAGAAAGTCAAAAAAACATACTCATATTAGACAGGTCGTAATAGCAGTGCGGATTACAAAAGAGTGTTTACTGTTCAGAATAAGAAGACGTTTATATTAAAGAGAAGTATTTGCAGCAAAATTTGCTCGGTTGGATCAGAGATCGTTCATTATTATGAGATGTTCACTAGTTGAGGTTTTATTGTAGTGAGAAAAGAGCTGAAATTCTGACTTTCGTACAAATTCTTTTCCTATTTGTCAAACATATGTTTTCTTATGTAAATCGACAACTCTAGACAATCATGATAAGAAGCAAATAATAAATTCTGTTGGAATTTTGAATTACTACCACATTACATACAATGTAAATACCTGAAAATCCGATTATCTCAGTCTGCACACATCTGAAACCTTGCCTATTTTAAATTTCTAATATTATCAGTGAGGCTTTTGATTTAATCCAAAAATCTTCTATAAAAACCTAAACTAGAATCTCTTCAATATTTTATACTGATTGCGTTCATATAAAATTATTAATTTCTCTTGCTTATTTTATTCCGTAACCAATATACTGTAGTGTTGATATTCTTACTTTGTTATTTTACAGAATTGTAAATTTCTTCAATAATTCTACATAGCATATACTTCATTTCGATTCTCAATTTCACATATTAGCTTTATATTCAACAGACTTTTAGATATTAGAAGATTTTCTATGAAGATAACCTGTTGTTTAAACAATTAAATCATCAATAAAAGCAGTCTGCTGATTTGATACAAGTTTTAACTGAATTAAGAAAAATAAAAATTTTGATATTCAACTTTAAACATACCAATTAGATAGAGTCTATATTTATTTTAATGAAAAAAAAAAGATTTCAAAGCCAAATTTAGTTCCCATTTAGAAATAAATATCTGTTAATTTTATTAAATAACAAAAAAAAGACAAAGAAAAAATCCTTTTGAATTTTTTTAAGAATGTCGAAAACAAACAAATAAAAAATCTCTTTGTATAACACATTACAAAGAAGAATATGAATCTAATACGACTCAATCATCATCAACACCATCATCATCATGGTCAAATAATCTTTCATCATTCCATGTTCCTTCTTATCACAAACGACATTCATTTGATAATACACATAGTCGAATTCAAAATGAAGATCAAAATAATACAATAAGTACAACGAATATAACTGATAATGATGAACAATTACTATTAAATTCTAATAAAAATCAAACTATACATGAAGGTCAAATAGAATATATGCCCAATGGTAGACGTTTTATTTTGAAAAATAGTAAATGGTTACCATTGTGTAAATATGATAATTTATGTCGTAATATTGCTAAATATGAATTATTATGTATAAAACATTTTGAATTAACACAACAACAACGACGAGATACATTAAAATTTCATAATAATGATCATCGACGTTCACGTTCATCTATTTTTGATAATCATCATTCAATTTTATCTAGTGATAATATAAAACGTGTGAAAACAACCAGTGGTAAAACAATTCTTTTTGATATTTATATTGAAAAAAATCAATGATATAAATTTTTCTTTAGATTTTCAAATATCTTCTTCATCAATTACCGAACAGTTTAATATTAATAGTCATGAAAATAACTATACAGTAATTTCTATTCGATTAGGAAATATTAATTAAAAATCGTTCTAATTTTTCTTTTAGACTAATAAACCAAATGATAGTCATTGTTCTTCATTAACATCTAAACTTCCTCGTCATGAAATAGGAATATCTTCTAAAAGAAATCTAAATACTTTAACATCTGATTTTTCATTAGTAAATATATTTAATATTATTTCTGCAGTTGTTGTTGTTGTTGTTTATTTCTTTTGTTTAGCTTGATAAACAAAAATCTGATCTTAAGAGTGATCAATCCGTCCAGACTGATCTAACTATTCCATTATGTTGCATTGTCCGTCAAGAAGGTCATTCCTTTTATTCGTCATGTCAAAATAATGTAAGAAAATTAATTAAATTTTTAATTTTAATCATTTTTCTAAATATTTAAATAGAAATCAACATCTTCCATTTTATTTTATGATACTAAATCGGAACCAAAATCTTTTGATAGAAATTTTTCTACATAAAAAATCTATTTGAATATTAGTCAAGTCATAGTTTGAACAATCTCGAGTAGATTATAATCATTATTTTTTTTTGTCTTTTTGCTGATAATAATAATTGTTGGCTTCTATTATTGATTGTATTTTTTTTTCTGTTTTCATGTAGCTCGTTTTTTATATGTATATTTTAGTATTATTTGAAATTTCGTTTTTTTTTTGTTTCTTGATTGATAAAACGAAAAATAAAATAGAAGTGATTTTTTTTTCCAAATTCGGATAATATTATAATGTAATACGAGTGAAATATTTTTTTTTTTCAAAATTTGTTTTTTTGTCGAAGATTGTAATATTGTTTTTTAGTGTAATGAAAAATAAAGATAAATATACATGTATGAATTGCTTAATATTGCTAATTGATATTGTTTTTAATTTAATGCTTAGGAATGTGTAGTCTTACTATCAATAATGAACAATGAGTCATTAATACAGGATCAACTAATTATACTAATATCCGCGTTTGCTGCAACGTTGAGATAAAAATTCTTCCGAAATATACCTTTTTGTAGCACTATGTTCGAATACTTCAATGACGAATGAGACAGTAATTAGTAAATTGAAACTTCACATTCCTACGGTGAAGTTTAGAGGTAGAATTTTGGGATTGTTTCTGCTTACAAAAAGACTGTGACAGACATTACTATAGCAATGTCACAGATACTTTAACAACGTATCCATCCTGATTACAGAGCGTAACCGGCATCTTAATAACACGTCACTCCAATGCTTCTGTCACAGACCAAGATAAACATAGTTGCAAACAAATTTGCAGGATCCAGTGGTGTACACCAACATAGGAAGGAGGAGTTTTATGGATATAAGTGTTTGCACGAGAACTTTTTAACGTAGAATATTTGCTAGTAAGGTTTGTCTTGAATAGCAATTAAGCTATGAAGTTTATACGCACATTGTACGATTGATTTCTCAGCATATATATCTAACATAAAAATTTTTAAGCCTTGGTTCAGTTGTGATAGATCATTTTTTAAATGACCAACTATCGGTACTATCCGATTATTAGGAAAACTTATTTATCTATTACATAGCGCTATTTTGAGTGCCTAGTAGTCTTGTTTTTCCCTTGGTTGATTCTTAACATATATATATTTTGACGGTGGGTAAAGTCTTCGATGAATTTTTCTTCGTTGGAAGAAATTTTTCATTTTAACGGCAGATTCTGCTCACCTGATCTCAAAACTCAATGACAATTCTGTTATTTTTGCAAATTACGGGAATTCATAATTATTAGTTTTTTTTTGAAGTAAAATAGCAGTGATATTGTGTTTCACATTTTACTCCTACAAAGATTGCACTGAAAGGTTTAAATCTCAAATATCCGAATTCCTAAGAATATTGATTTGTATTAGCAAAAAAATAATTATAGAATTAATGTTAAAGACAATCGGGAGGCATCCAAATTACATTTATAAAAGATATTTACGATCAGACTAAAATTTATATTCATTAGTAACTTATTGATAATGATTTCGATGTTGATTTTCATTATATCAAAATCTTGTATTGTTAATTTGCGACTTTTGTAAGATTGTTCGTAAGTATTCTTAGTATCAATAAGAAACGAAACAACGACAAGTTGAATCTTAAATTAATCTTATCATCAAGAGAAATCATCTTCTGTGTTTTTTTTTGTTTCGTTTTCTATGATATACGTTATTATTGTTTTCATAGCGCAAAGAATTTGAAATGCTTTATTTTCACTAAAGCAATGGATATATTTTAAAATTAGAAAGAACTTTTACTATTCATTATAGAAAACATAAGGCATAAAAGATCAGCAAATATCTGATGTGATATAATGTTCTAATTTTGTATTGCTATTCGAATGAAAACAAATTTTTTCTGTAATAAGTAGTTTTTCTATTTAAAAAAAAAATTATTTCAACATTGAATTATGCATGTAGTAATCGTCATGCATGTCATTCTTTCAGAGATATTTGATATAAATCAATTGTATCAATAACATCATATAAACCATTGATATCGGATTGATCATATTTATTTATTAAATTTCGTTTGATTTGGTTACTTTCTTCTAATGTACATGATATCCATTCATATTTAAATATAATTTTACCAAGATAATCACATCCCTCGGGTAACATTCCATTCTTTGGTACTATTTGATGTCGTCCATATTTTTTCATTGACTCTACTGCTTTTAATCCATCATAAGGATGATGAATCATTTCATCGTATATTTCTGCTTGATTTGAATAATATGTCTTGTACCAAATTTTATTAATCTCATGAATAATTTCTAATCCATGTAATTTTCCTTCTTGCCAATGTCGTTCTAAATAATAAACTTCTGCACCAGGTCCTCCAACACGATGATAAGTTTGTACGCATTCTTCTAAGCCATGACGTTGAAGATGTTCACCATAACCAACAACAGTTACACGTATATCAAAATTCCATATAACTGATCGATAATTAAGTAATGTTATCTTGCGTGAAAAACGTGTTTTCATCAATGATTTTAATCGATGAGCTTCACATGACCATTGACGACTAACTAACGATTGTGATAAATAATCTTTGGATGTTTGACAATGTAATAAAATCAAACGAACAACTTCATTTGGTAGTACAACATAATTAGACGACATCTATAAATTTAAGTTTTCTAAAAAAAACATAAATTTTTGATTAAAATGATGAAAATTAGAGAAATCCGAATCAAAATCATTTTGATCTTTTAGAGCTTAATATTTAGTTGTTGACAGTTTTCAAGTTAAATAGATATACATATGTTCTTATAAATTGATATATATATATATATATATATGACGATTATTATACTTAAACTCTATTGATCAGTTGAACTTAAGTAATTTCTTTGTAAATCAAATACTTACTACTTCTAATCAGCATTTTCAATGATGATTTGGAATTCATTTTACAATTAATTTCAATATCAACTCATCAGAAAATTTTATTTTTGTGTGTGTCCAAGATATTTTTTTTTTATCAACATAACATTTACGATACGTTTAGTATTCACCTGTTTCTGTTTTTTTTTGCATTCTTTTACACTAAAAAAAGGCGACGAAAGAAATTGAGAAAAGAAAAAGAATAAAAAGAATTACATAAGAAGTACAAATAAACTCATAGAAAATAAAATGATATCAATATTTATTTACGAACACAGGAATTCCAAGCTGATGATTAAAGTCAAATGCATGTGATTTAAGATTGAAATGGGCTAATCAATTGTATTACATTGATAGCCATGGTTAAATGCAGAAGTTTATCATCTGAATCCACAGAACAAGTTTTCAATAGAAAAGTGAGATATTTCATATTCTTCCGCTCTCGTCCACAGTAATATGCATGTCAACAGAGAACTGCAAAGAAAATTCAAGATCAGGTTACCAATATATTTTCTTTGATAAACTCAGTTGTCCTTAGATGTACATGATCCACAAACTAGAGAATTCTAAGTAAAGAATCCATTAGTTTGTATTAAACAGTTTCTTATATACGGCAAGTGGAGCACATTTGAGTGATTTTTTTCAGAAAAATTACGTTAAGAATGTCGCAACTTTCACAGACATGTTTTGAAGACTTTTTATGTGGTTAGCAGACTGTTGTGCTATATAACTCTAATCAAAGTTCATGTCATTTTTCTTCTGATTTATTGGTTTATGATAGTAATGGAAGTCGTCGTACAATAATCGATAGTCTATTCGAGTTATGTGAGAAGTGGAATGAGTTGATAATGAACTACCACATCCCATCCATGAAAGATGCTGTTTTGTTCTTTATTATAAAGTGTTGATTTCAAGAGACAGAAAAATAAGCGAGTGAATGAAGCATAGCTGACAAAAGCTGTATAGAGCGAAGCATCTTCTGGAAGAGTTTAGTTCAACAAAAATTGAACATATTCACCTGTATTCAGATATACTATTACAGTAATTGCAAAGTGACCGATCACGATATGAAGTCGACCATCTTTGGTGTAATCATAGAGAGCTGCATATGTCGGAACGAAATCTGTATAAAAAATCAACGCATCGAAGAAAGATCCGTTTCCATCACCCAGAAGTACAAGAAAATAATTAGAGTAGCTTCCGACTATAACGACATCCAGATAAGTGTCTCCGTTTATGTTACCCATCGCGACTAATAATGTACAGCTTCTAACAGTGTAGGGAACAGCTGCTCGACAGGTACCATCATCGTTATTCCGTAACACACTGATTGTATGGTTTGCGCAATTGAATGCTACCAAATACATATGTTAATACTTGTTCAGAGCGCTAACAGCAAGTCCCCATGGGTTGGCCATGGTGGCGCAAAAAGTAAACATACGGAAAGTATCATTACCATAGCCTAAATGTACACTAACACTATTACTGTTCATGTTGGTGACGGCAAAGTCTAAATGATTATCGTGATTGAAATCAGCTACAACGGCGGTCACTTGAGTATATAGTGTGACAAACGTAATTTGAGATGCGAAAGTGCCATTCCCATAACCGAGAAGAAGGCTAACAGTATGGACGTCACTGTTAGTGACCAACAAGTCAAGGTGTTGATCACTATTAAAAACTCCGACAGCAACCGAAGATGGAGCATCGCCAACCGAAAAAGGAGTTTTGTAAAAGGAAAGTACCATCACCTAGACCAAGTGGAAAACCTACAGTATCATTGCCAATATGAGTGATCACTACATCTGCATGACTGTCTCCCTTGAAGTCGCTGACAGCGACTGAAAATGGATTTGTGCGAGTTATGAGAGTTGTTGGTGGTTTGAAAGCTCTATTGCCATAACCAAGAAAAACGTCGAAATTGTTTTCTTTATAACCGACAACAGTAAGATCCATGCAATTATCACCATCAAAATCATCCAAGGCGATCGACATGGTTGCATTCCTTATTGTATATGAGTATTTTTGATTGAATGTCAGATTACTAGAGATACCACCTACATATCAACAAGAATGATCTGATAGATCAACTCTTCAAAAGAGTTCTTATTTCAACTTCAATCTCAATTGAAAAACTAGAGTAATGCTAGGAATCTCATATTGAAAATAAAGGATATCCTATGCATTCCTTTCCTCAGTGATGCAATTCAAAAGCTAAGAGATTATCTTCTCATCAAAAAAAAACCTATTAGTCTATGTCAAGTCGACGTGACGAGATTTGTTGCATTTAAATCTTTCAACAATTGAAGAGAACTTGTAGACTTTATGGGTCTTAATTTAACACCTCATCAAAGTAAAGATGGAATATGTGTTTTAGAACAACTCACATAATCATACAGATCGATCTTATAGTCTAGATGTACATATTGTTTGAATCGAGAGAAAGCTCTTGGAGACTGGCGCATGATTCTAATAGTTTCTGAATTCTAGCTGCTCCAGTTTTCAGAGAGATGAAGTAAATTTGCTTCCTCCTGGTCCAGTCAATGTCTACTCGAACTAATATAGATACTCACGTGTGATATTTGCAGTGGCAGTGCTGCCCATCATCGTGGACATTCTAGTAGTGCCACTGCTACTATTTCAGTTGATCGGTGAGCTACCTAAAACAGATTGAATGAATCATTCTTAGGAACATCTATTGCACTTCGATCTAATGTGCATTCTAAATTGACTTTGTCTACTCACTGTCGTGACCATCGTCCGAGTTGTGGTGTTGATACTTGTTGTTGATACCATTGTAGTTATTCTTGTTCCTAACATACACAATACATATAGATGGTAATTCTTTCTAACCTAGTGTGCATAATTTCGAGTTGCTGACTGTTTAACTCCTGTATTCAAAGAAGAAGTTTCACTATAGTGCAACTAAAAGAATGCTATTCTGCCCTATCACAGATTGTCGTTTAGAGCTTACCATATAATGGAAACATCCGAACATAAGATCAAATTTCGAATATTATCTAGTTAAAATATTTTTTGATGATCACGGTGAACCAGAAGAAACGTTTAGGATGAGAAGATATGTGCAGATTTCAAAAAAAAAGCGAATGACTCAAAATTTGTATAATATTCAACATTGTCTAGACTAGATCAGACTTGGAATCGGTCAGATTCTTTTAGACCGGGCCGGCCGGTACCGGTCGGTCCAAATTCTTGATTTAACCGGCAAAAACCGGTGCATTTCGTGCATCAATCAACTAATCAGTACTTTCGAGAAACAGTCTATTACTTCAATTTGACGAACATATACGATGTCAAACTCATAATCCTTGAAGTTTCTAATAGTAACAGCTCGTATTATAGTTTGCAGCATTTCATGTGCTAGCATTAAGAAGGAACGACCATTTCTTTCAAAAATGTTTGACTTAGAACTCAAGCAACTTATATTGAACAACATCTAACTATGTTTTGGCTGTCTTTTTTCTATAACGATATGAATTCTTTACAATTGATAAGTTTAATCAATTTTTATTTGAAATAATTATTTTAACACAGCTGAAAGGCATTTCAATTCGCAAAAAAGGATACTCCTGTAGACAGAAAGATAAGGTGAGCTAAAACGTATTGCTTTCATATTAGACTTCCTATTTAAGGTTTCTTAATATCTAAGTATTTTCACAATTACATGATGGCAGTAGTTCACAAGATCTTTACAACGGAACTTAATCTTTTCTTATATTTTGTTATGAAAGCATGAACTGAAAACTACTAGCTATTGGAATTCTATGAGAGTGGAGTAAAATTAGTCCAGAAAGGTGAACTCAAAATTTCGAGGTGAAAACTCTATAGTTTAGACTGATATCTGGCTTATTTTTCGTGAACATAAACAAATTCATTCAACATGCTTCAAGGTCCTCATCCTAGGATGGGAAAGTGTTAGGCAATATTTAGAGCTGGGATTTCGACAATGATTGAAAATTTATCAGTTGGAAACTTCCAAGCTCATATCCCTTGATCATTGAAATCATAGAAATCGTTAAAAACGAGCAATATATGCAAGTTGTAATGCCCCAAAAATTTTTAAAAGTTAAAAAAATACCGGTAAAAACCGGCCGGTTTTAAAAGTTCGACCAGACCGGACCGGTTCCAAGTATGGACTAGATCACGCTTCGTAGCAAGAAAGCTTTGAATCTGTGAATTTTAGAAAAAGATGAAAACGTTAGGAATTCGAAAAGTAAACGAAATTTTCAACAATATATCATTAAAATTTTCTTTTTTCGAAATTCTGAACGTTGCTGAACAGGTGATAAATTCAACTGAATGCGACATCGAATGGTTAGGTTTGAGAGGCTCAGCTTGATTCATCTTCCCGTTGAAGAAAGTCGGTAATTGTGTAATGATTGAGTTGAACATGGAAGACAACATATTCATCAAAAGTGAATGTTGTTGTATTCGAGACTGATCCTTTTTCACGAATCAAGGTCACTGATATGACAACTATCGTAGCTATTAAAATTGAACCGACCATCACACCAAGAATAACCAGTAACTCTCTTTTGTTTGTTCGATTGCTGCACAGAAAAATAAAAAGACATTTGAGATATAAAACAAGATGAAGACGCACGAGACAGAAATCAGCGTTGTATGCATTGATCACTAATTCTTGATGTTAGGTTTCACAATGATGTAGAGATTGTGAGTCTAGATATAATACCAGCTGAGAATGAACATATTTC